CAAAAAATGTATATTTTACATAAATGCATTCCCATAAACTGAGAGATAAATTAAACTAAAAATGTTGCTGTGGTCTCATTTTTTTTTGCAGAGCTGTATATTCACCCTATTATACATACAGTATAAGATCATCCATTCATCCATCTTGAAATTGCTTATCAGGGACATGCTTGTGGGGAGATCTAGAGCCTATATCAGGCAAAAAATGCATTTTCAAAGCCATAACCGTGACCATAAGATGCACCCAAAGCTGCAGTACCCCTTTCCATAGAGATTGAGTTTTCCTTCTGTTACAGAAAGAGCCTAAAACACTCTGTCACAGCCTGTCACTGCCTGAAGGGCTGGGGAGCTGGACCCAAAATCACTGCATGGAGTGGCAGGATATCAAGGTCAAGCGGGCACAGGACAGAATCAGGAGAGCGGTCATGGGGCGCAGCAGCGAAAATCAAAGTTAAACTGCTAAAGAGGCTGGAGCAGAACAGGAGACACAAACACTGGAGAAAAAACACTGTAGCGAAGAAGCACAATTTTAGGTCCACTGGTTGCTTAAAAAGAGTCAAATCCAGGACATGACTCCTCCATAAAGTACTGAAGCTAAGTGGGGCTTCCCTGTAGTGTACAGGAGGAGTCACAACAATAATGACATATACAGTCAGTCCTGCCACATCACGTGATATCACACTGCGAATCTGTTGTAACGTGATTGATTTATTAGTACCCAAGTTCAATACGACGCGGAATCGCATTTGTATTTGCATGATTTTCAGTTGGAAAGAAAATCACTACGAAGTCTAGAACGTGATATGGTCTTAGCAAAGTGGTTACTATGCAATTCTCATCTCATAAGACTCATAAGACCCATAGGAGATATTTAAAATTTAATTTATTAATGTATTATTTCTTATTAAAAATGCATATATTTACATTATTGGCCCCTGGTATCACTGTTTTTATTATTTAATTAATTGTGTTTGGTGTAAGTTACTGAGTTTTGGAGTTTTCTTATCCATCCAACCATCCATCCATATTCCACCACTTATCCTGGGTCAGGTCACGGGGATAGCAGTCTAAGCAGGGATGCCCAGACATCCCTCTCACCAGCCACCTCCTCCGGCTCCTCCAGGGGAATACCAAGGTGTTCCCAGGCCAGCCAAAAGACATAACCTCTCCAGCGTGTCCTGGGTCTGCCCCGGGGCCTCCTCCCAGACGGACATGCCTGAAACACCTCCCCAGGGAGCCGTCCAGGAGGCATCCTAGGTAGATGTCCGAACCACCTTTACTGGCACCTTTCAATGCGGAGGAGCAGCGGCTCTACTTTGAGTCCTTCCTGAATGTCCGAGCTCCTCACCCTATTCCGAAGGCTGAGCCCAGCCACCCTGCAGCAGAACCTCATTTCCACCACTTGTATCCGCAATCTCATTCTTTTGGTCACTACCCAGAGCTCATGACCATAGTTGAGGGTAGGAACATAGATCGACCAGTAAATTGAGAGCTTTGCCTTCTGGCTCAGCTCCCTCTTCACCAAAACAGAATAGCACATTGTCCGCATTACTGCCAACGCTGTACCAATCCGTCTGTCGATCTCCCACTCCCTTTTTCCCTCTCTCATGAAGAAGACTCCGAGATACATGAACTCTTCTAGTTGAGGCAGTGGCTCATCCCCCACCAGGACCAGGCAATCCACCCTTTTCCAGTCGAGAACTTTGGCCTCAGACTTGGAGGTGCTGATCCTCATCCTGGCCGCCTCGCACTCAGCTGGCTAGACCCAGAAATTCTGTCCATAAAAGTTGTGAACAGAATTGGTGACAAAGGGCAGTCAACACCCACCAGGAATGAGTCTGATTTACTGCTGGCAATGCAAACCAAACTCTTGCTCTGTTTGTACAGGGATCTGATGGCCTGCAACAACAGACCCCATACTCCATTCTCCTGAAGCAACCCCCACAGGACCCCCCAAGGAACCTGATCATATGCCTTTTCCAAGTTCACAAAACACTGGACTGGTTGAACAAACTTGAACATGAACCCTCTAGTTTCCTTGTGAAAGTAAAGAGATGATCCGGTGTTCCATGACCAGGACTGAATCCACATTGTTCCTCCTGGATCCAAAGTTTGACCAACGGGTGGACCCTCCTCTCCAGTACCCCAGCATACCAAGGGTACCTATGGAGGATGAGGAGTGTGATCTGCCTTAGATTGGGACCAACACCCCAGTCTGCCGATCCAAAGGCACTGTCCCTGACGTCCACGCAATGTTGAAGGGGCGTGTCAGCTAAGACAGCCTAACAACATCAAGAGCTTTCAAGAACTCAAGGGCAAACCTCATCCACCCCCTGAAGCCCTACCACTGAGTAGTTGTTTGACTATTTCAGTGACCTCAGCCCCAGAGGTGGGCAAGTCCTCCTCCAAGTCTTCCAGCTCTACTTCTTCCGAGGCAGGTGTTTCAGTGGGATTTAGATCCTCAAAATATTCCTTCCACTGCCCGACTATATCCCCAGTTGAGGTCAACAGTTCTCCATCCTTGCTGCAAATAGCATTGGTAAAATCCTGCTTCTCCCTCCTGAGCTGCCTGATGGTTTGCCAGAACCTTTTCGAGGCCGGCTGAAAGTACTTCTCCACAGCCTCACCAAACTCCTCCTACATCCGAGATTTTCCCTCAGGTGCCGCCTAAGCTGCATCCCGCTTGACCTGCCAGTACCTGACCGCTTGCTCCTACAAGTTAACCAAGCCCTGAAGGACTCCTTCTATCATCTTTACTGCTGGTGTACACCACCGGGTTTGAGGATTGCTGCTGCAACTGGAGCCAACAACCTTACGGCCACAACTCGGCCCCGCCATCTCAGCAATGGAGTCCTGTCTCCTGACTCCCTCGGGATAGAAGTTCTGAGTTGCATTCCCCTAACCCTATTTTTCCCTTTGGATATGTGTATTTCAGTATACAATTCTAGCTAACGTGAGGCCTTCAGGAACACATTTGAAGCATGACTGTACCTAGCTATATACTAACACAATACAAAAGATGTGAACCGGTTTTTGCAGAGGGGCATTCTTTGTAGGTGGGAGGTTGGCTGGTAAGCACTGGGAAGCCGTCCGTGTGGCGTCAGAGCTGTGACCATGGCGTGCTTTCCACAGCTTGCACTCCCATACCCGAGTGTTGGCCTCCCCATGGGGGGAGGGCGGGTGAAGTGGAAACTCCCTGCCTTATTTGTCACGTTGGCACTTGGCATAGTGGGGGGGGGTCTTGCCCGGGCTCTCCAGTAGCACGCAAACAAGAGCTGCAGGAGCCAGTGGGCAGAGCTGTGAGAGGCCCGGAGGGAACAGCCTTGCTGTGGGGCATTTCGTTTTTTTGCCTGCTCTACCCATGCCAGTCATCCCAACCCAGGCATTTGGGGGTTGGGGGGGGGGTTCACCACACAGGACTGACTGTTTGAGCTGGTATTTCCTGCAGTCACATATGCGCACACTTACATGTGAATGCTCTCTGCAGAGACGAGGCCTACATTAGTGGAAGCATAAACTTAATCAGGCATTTGGGGAGGTCACATGACCCCAGGAACCAAACCCGCAGTCTATAATTAATAGGTAAATGTTTAATCTGCACGTAGTGAATCCTCAGGTTGAAGGTGTCCTGGGGGCGGGGGGGGGGGTGCGGTTTGACCCTCTGCGGATGGAGAGCAGATGGGCGCGGTGAAGGACAGGTGGCGTGGCGGAGCAGGGAATGCAGTGCGGGCCAGCGTAGCAGCTGGAGGTGGCTGGATCAGACTGTGCCTCCCCCATCGTAGCACCAGCGTCTGGCTGCTGTTCAGACTCCGGCAGCTGGAGGAAGTTCAGGAGTTGGGGGGGGGGGAGGGTGCCAGGAGTTAATAGCCTGTACCCTTCTGCATCAATCTCTGCTCATCTCTGTCTGTGCCCCCTGAGGGAGGGTCCAGCCGTTCCATCTGCAGACTGTGGGGCCCAAGAAGGAAACCCCCCCACACCGAAAACCCCTCTATATAAAGCGTCCCTGGCTGTCTGGGGAGGGGTGAGGGAGTTACAGCTGCTTTTAGCTGTTCTTTAGCAACCAGGGTCTAACTCAACTTGACCCAGCCTCCTTATTTTTAAACATTGTCGCTGTATCTTTTCTGGAGAAAAGCCTCCCCAGACAACAGCCTGCCAGCAAACTTTAGTGGCATTGTGGGGAAAATGCCATGTGCACAATAATCCATACACGCGAATTACTGATATGAAGCTATAGCGACCTGCCGCCTTGCAGACAGATTGTAAATGCGATGCTGCCCCTACAGTCACAGTTAATCACTGCATATCATGGATGTGGCTGCAGGTTGGCAAACACCCTGTGGTACACGGTGTAAGATGATATATGATGAAAAAGGATGTAATGTAAAATGCAGGTAATTTACATGACCACAGAATGAATGCCCAAATATAATGACAGCTATCTCTTTAAGGTGTTGATCGGGGTGGAGCCAGTGATATTTCAAGGGCATCCTGTAATTCTGGTCTTAGGAAAATCAACGTTTGGAAAGATCTGCCCACTTTGCTCCCAACTCTTACCCAAACCAGGAAGACATGAAACACTGCTCTAATGTTCAGCACCATCAAAGACCCCATTACCAGGGGCCATTAAAACCATGGCAACTCCCAACTCACGGGTCCCCTTCAGCTCTCGCTATACCCTGAAGTAAGGTATGCAAACTGTGGGGCATGCCCCCTGGTGGAGTGCAAAGGAATTGCAGGGGGGGCACAAGTGAGGGGGAAAAACATGGAACTGTGGAGGGGTTTGAGAAGGGGGGGCAGACATATTTTGAAACTGCATCCTTTAGAAGCATTAAAAATATTTTGAACACATTATAAATATCACAGTAACAAATTAAAATGTAATAAATTTAATAAATGTAGAGGTTTTTTAGGGTATGTGTGTGTGTGTGTGGGGGGGGGGGATCAGAACAAATATATCAGCCCTAGGGGGGCCCTGTCAAAAAAACTTTGAAAACCAGGAAGCCAGAGGGACTGAAGACGCTGGACCTGAATGTCACTATCAAGATCACCTTCGAGTTAAATCAGAAGATCCTCCGTCAGAATCCTGAGCTCTTGGAGGCTGTAGCCTCCAGTCCTCTTCTTGCACAGTTGATACAGCGATGTATGATTAACTGACACAGGTATTTAGAAATAAATGAATGTGTGTGTATATATGTATATGTATGTATGTATGTGTTTGTGTGTGTGTGTGTGTATATGTGTGTACAACAAATCAATTTAAAAAGATGTAAATAATTAATTAAACCTCGGGTCTGCGTAAACAAACAACTGCACAGAAGATGGATGGATTCCAGGAGCGGTGTGCGAGACGGATTCTCTAAATAACTCATAATAACACATCATGCATATTCATGTCGCCGTGCCGGTTACTTAATAATTTGCATCGCATGAATAATGGGCATCGTAAAATAATGACATTTTGAGGAACGCTATCAGACTTGCCGCTGAAATGGGGCTGCGAAGGTGCAGGCGTGATCCCTGTCTGCCGGAGCCTCTGGCTCGCCGTGACCCGGTGAGTGTCTCTGCGTGTCCCCCGTCCCCAGGGCCGTGCGGGGGACACGCAGAAACAGAGTCACTCTCCGCCTGTCCTGCAGAGCTGTGCCCCAGGAGAGCCACCGTTTATCGGGGCTTCAGTGAAAACACACACTGGGAGCAGCGGCTGGGCTTTGGCGCCCGCGTTACGGCACCTGCAAAGTCGGCAAACCGCCGCACCTGGAGGAATCCCCAAGCGTGTCACACATATACCTCTCCAGGTCTCCCCTATTATTCCAGCCAAGCGTTTTCGTCATTACCCCCCCCCCACCTGCCATGTCACCTCACCCAGCTAGTTAGTGGCAATTTGAGTGACTGTCACGGAGCGCAGACAGAGCCCGTGGGGCACTGACGGGCAGGGGGTGGGGGAGAGGGGCGCTGAGCTCTTGTTAACATGCACCCCCACCCTGCCTGTCACATGGGATCAGCAGCAAATCACCGGCGGAGCAATTGCGGATCCGGCGTCTGCGTCTTTAAGACAGGGCCCACATCGGTCTGTACCCTCCTGTTCTCATTACGGGCTTGCCGTTGTGGCGTTTGATTGGTATGGTGTTCCCTAAGGGAGATTATAGACGAAAGAACATGATGATGCCAACCCACATAAGGGCTCCAAGTTGCACAAAATATGTCTGTATATTCAATTAAAAAGTAATAGAACAAAAAAACATTCAGTCCCATTAAATCTGTGCTGTCCCACTTCTTAGTACTGATCCATCTGCTATTGCTATTCCAACTCGGTTCTTCTGGATACTTCCCCCATAGAGTGGGTGGCGGGGGGGGGGGCAGAGTTTCTTTCCGATGCTCAATGCCAAGCCCAGCCCTTGCCTCTCCTGGCACAGGGCCACGCTCCGCTCCAAACAGGACACAGGGAGATGGGCCCGGCACACAGCCCCCCCCCTCCCCTCCCCTCCGCCAGCCGTCCGGCACAGAAATAGAAGGTGCTCGCGGTTCGTGATGAATGGACGAGCGTGAGCTGGACCGTACACCATCCCGAGCCCAGCGGAGACGCGGCCGTGCCAACGGACTCCGGAGAGGTCTGACAAAGGCCTCCACGCAGCACACAGCGACACAGATTGGGACCCGGTACCGACTGAGACACAGAGAGCTCCGTGCGAAATTAAAAATAAATCCACCACGGCGGGGAAGGCCACGTTCACCGTGATTCACCACGTTCTCCGTACGCCGTTCCTGAGGCCTACTGAGATCAAAGTCAAAAATTACTAGTGCCAAGTCCATGTGGCTTAGTTATGGAAGAAATGATAAAACGAATAATAATAGTAATAATAATAGCAGTCTGCATTCCTGGCATTCCATAGCCCTCACACAGTTCCCAATAAGCATCCCTTGGGGGTTTTCTAGGGCTGTGGGTCAAGGAACCAAGGTCTTAATACTAAAACGTGAGAGTGGATGATATAAGAATGAATTTAAACCAAAATTAGAAAAGCAAAGATGAGTGGCCCTGTAGCACGAGCCGTTTCCCGGTGCCGTGTGACCGCTGTGGAAAATGACAGACGCACCTCCAGGCTGTATTCCTCGACCGTCCTCTTCAGGGGGTCCACAATCTGCCAGCAGATTAGGATGCAGAGATCGATGAGCAGCATCCCGCCCACAATAATCAGCAGCTTCTGGTCCTTGATGATCTGGATGGAGAGGAGAGGGGTGGGAGGAGGAAGATGTCTCCTGTGCCTGATACAGAGATGTTGGCGCGGTTAGCTCCGCACCCTGACCCAGACGAATGCCTGATCTGTTATAATATCTTTTTAAAATTTTATTAATGTTTGATACAGGTAAAAAAAAGAAATCAAAACAAAGGTCAGACAGCATGGAAAGTTGAGAGCTCCGTAGGATTTAGATAGGATACGGAGGGGACTGATCAAGGGGACTGACAGACAGCAAGAGGAGTGAAGGGCAGAGGGGCCTGGCACACGTCACATTAATGCTGTCATTAACTAGAAAAAAAAAATTTATGATGCTGAGAGTACACTAAGAACACATCCTAAAAATCGTGCTGAAAAAGCAAATCATTAACAAATGTTTAATTAGGAACGACTGATTCCAGGTGGCATCTGCAAATTTTATGGCTGGAAATCGGCAATCCAGCTGCAGAAGAATTAAACTCTCTGGGTGTTAAAACTGAGTGTTAGCAGGGGGTCCAATAGGAGGTGACAGACTGTGAAAGCTCAGGATGTGCTCTCTCACACAGCCTGCGTTCCGGTCCGAGCAGGCCCCCCCCGCTTGCCGGATTAACAAGCTCGAGACACGATGAAGCAGCACTCGCTGTGCATAAACAGATTTCAACTTCGTGCAAAGGCAACCTAGTCAATTCCCGCAAAGAGCGAAATTAAGTTCCGAAACCCAGAGTGGGTGGGATTAATGCATGCTGTCAATCACCGATAGAGTAACCAATGACAAGTGGGATAAGCTTTTGGCCACATTGGGCTCATCAGTGGGGGAATCACATCTGTAGTGGTTTTTTAAAATTTGTTTTATTCAAAGCACCACATAGCAAATTAATTGATCAGAAAAATTTTCATAAGTGGCCGTCTCTTTAATGAACTCAGCGCTCCTCCTGACAATGGAGTCACAGAACGTAACAGGAAAACAGCAGCGCTGTGAGATTAATTTGCTGGCAGGGAGGAACACACAGTGATACTATGTTCACTTTAAAGCGCTTACTCCGCAAATAGGAAATCATTTGTTACAAAATATAATGTCCCATAATATGAATTCAACACTACATATCAAAGAAAATTAATTGCACAGTGCAACCCTGTAACATTGCCTCATAAATATTATCCATTTCAAGTATAAGTGTTTTGAAACAATTATAATAATTTGTCTATGAAAGAGTGCAGCTGGTATGCTATTTGTGATCCATGTCGAAATGTTTATTTAAAATTTTTCATAGGACCGATATAAATAAGAGTTACTTATTAAATAAGAGGTATTATTACTGTAATAATTCATTATAGAAAGAGCTGAGGCATGTGATGTATGAGTACAAGTCTTTTCCTTCGGGGTAAAAAATTAGATGCTAGTCTAGTGAGTGAGTGAGTGTGTGTGTGTGTGTGTGTGTGGCACTGAAGACAATCTTCTGCTTCATGCTCCTCTGAGCCCAGAAAGCGGTGACCGGCATTCTGACTGACACGCTCTCTGCTTGCCCAGTACTGTGCTGCACCAGGGAAGTGTACCTGTGTACCATGGTGCATGTGGAACGAACCCCCCTCACGCTGACCGGCCCCTGACTTGCAGTGAACCGTCAATAACCATACCCGCACCCCCGACCCCCGGGATCAGGCCCCTGCCAGGCATCCCATCGACTGAGGGAATCTGTGCCAAATCACAGGAGTATGGAGAGCAGCAGAGGAACAGGGAGTCCTGCCTGCTGGTTCAGTGGACCCTCTGTTTCAGACCAAAACTATGACCCCAAAAGGTGCCTGTTGGAACCCTGGAGTGACCTTTGACAGAGGAATCGACATCTCAACTGACCTTCACAAAAGGGCTGTCTGTGATCACTTTGAGGACCCAACCACATCTAGCGCGGCTCTGTTTGTGTCTCTGTTGTCTTTAACCATTTCCATCCTATGCAATATTCATACTCAATAAGCCTTGGTCTTCCTGATTTGTTTCTGTCATTTCTTGTAGTAGTGACAGGGGGGCAATCTTCCCAACACTGCTTAGCCCAAGGGACTCATTGTGTGTTCCTAACCATCCATCGGAGACTGAATCATGTCAGTGGGAGTATTTGCTAGTGGTATTGGAGATGTTTTGTTTAGTGGTTGGGTGTCTATGCTGGTTTTCTTGCACTGATTTTTCCCCAGTGGGGTCTGAGGCTGTCCCTTGACACACTGAGGGCGTGTGACTCTGTGGAGAATGAAAGAACATAACTCTATTGGCACTGCTCCTGGCATTTGGCTAACAAATTTAAGAAACGACATTTTCATAACCGACAAGACAGTATGAGTTAAAGGTTTAAATGTAAGGTTTAAATCTATTAATTCACTCCCAATAAATTAATAAAATATGAATTGTTTTTAAATTGATTTAGGCTGCTAGCTTCAGAACAACCTTGGCAATGAGATTACAATCCTTAAACCCCTCTGCAGGTACTCGGGCACCAATACAAGTCTTGATTTTTGTTATTAATTTTAGTTGCTTATATATGTCTTGTAAACCCTATTTCCTAGTTGGATGTTTCCATGTCAGCTGCCTGTTTGACTTTCTCACAATGTCAACAAACTGGAATGCTCTTCAGCCTTGCAGTGAAGAGCTTGAACACATGGCACTAGCCTTGAAGGTCCTAAGCTCTCCTGCAAGAGCTCCAGCCATTTCTGTCCCACCCTCAGCACAAGTCACTCACACCCCATTCGAAAAAAAAAATCATTTAATTAAGCTCATTAATGGAACTGGATGGAAGAACCACAGAGTAAAACCCGTAATGGCTGGAAGTCTTAGTTAGCTTTTGGCCGACTGACCCACAGGTGGCTCAATTTCACTTCTACTTTAGCCTTTGGTCGATTGACCCAATAGTGGCCCAGTCTTACTTCTTAGTTAGGTAGCCTTTAGCTTATTGAGCCAAAAGTGGTGCAATCTCTCTTCAAGCTACAGAGTATCTACAGAGTATCTTCCTTGCTATTGTCATATTGGGATTCTAGTGACTGAAGCCAGTGAGGTAATTGAATAAAACGTACAACCCCAATATGCTTCAGAATAATCTGTCTATCAACATATAATATACAGATGGAAATGCATATATGATCTTGAGGCTCCATATTAATCAAAACATCAGCTTGTACGTGGAGACTGACGCGCGACAGTGTTAAATGTGTCAGAGAGACATTGGTGTGACACAACACCAATTTTCCCGTAAGACACGGAGCCCCGACATCCGGGGCAGGGCTTATCCCGGCAGTGATGGGGCCTACAGCACAATTTCAATTCCAAACCAGCCGGCGTCTCCTCGCATTAGGCGCTCACACAAGCTTTGGCTAGATGCCGCTTAAATAATTTAATTTCGTCTGACAGAGAGAGTAACTTGATAGCAAAATCATGTGGCAGCAACAGCGGCAAAGACTTGGGTACTGGAGTGTTTCTGCAGAGCGACTTTGGTGAGAACAGTCGATAACGGGGATACTCCGAGATGCATTTTCCATCGCTTCTCACAGTGGAGTGAAGCACTTTGCTTTACTGGTGAGGACCACAGAGTGCATTCTGATTAATGGTCTCTCTGCCTGCTCCATCGACCTTCGGGTTGTCTTGTTGACTCCAGAGATGCCTGGATGCAGACAGTCGCTGCAGCTATCAGACTAGGCGTAGGATTACCCACTAGCTAATTTTATATTCTATTAAAACAATCTAGCTGCATGTAAATCTATTTAAATGACAAAACAAAGTCACAGATTTTTTTCATATTGGTACCTGGTAGACCAATCAAAATTGAAAATAAAATGAATGTGACAAACCATTAACTGGATATTATGTGAGATGAATTTGTACTGATTAATCTCCTTCCTAAACTCAAAGGCAAGTGTAACCCGAGACTTTGCTGAACTATGCGTATTATTTCCAAACGGATCCAGATATTTAACTGCTGGTTGATGCCTCACGGTGGCAGAGCTTGAATTTAAATGAGCCCTGTGATACGTACCGGAAGCCCTACGCGTAAACAGAGCCTTTGTGGAGTCTTTTTGAAGCTCAGGTTGTCAGGCAACATAAAATAAGGAAGAATCTATTCTGTCATGTGACTTTTTTCTGTCTAAACTCTGTTAAACTGAGAGACGAGTCGGCGCATCTGTCCTGCTCGGCTCTTCAATACCGAGACATAGATAAAAGCATGAATAATGCGATGGCTCGTCCGACTCCATAAAATCCACTCTCAGGCTGGATTTTGTATATAAAGGGAGTGGGCTCTCTCGGGCTGGAGCAGAGATGGTGACATGCCGTTCCCCAAGGCCGTGACCCTGCCGTTTTATTATCAATCAGCTGCTCTCGCTGACCATGCCCACACAGTCCATCTCATCCCACAAAATGTCTGAGCCGCCAGATCTAAAAATAGTCAGGTTCAAGAAAAATAATAATAAAATCACAGGGGAGGAATAGCACTGCGAGCGAGCTCTGCTCCACATATCCAAAGATAAAAGCAGCACTTCTACTCGTATCTCAGGAAAGCGTGTTTGTTCATTAACCAAGCGTGCATTTCATATTTGGTCTCCTGGCAAGCATGGCCACAAACTGCAGCCTCATATACACGTACTATACCTGCATCCCTTAAGTCCCTCAGATACAGTAACTGGCTTCATGAATGCGATTGACAAGCAGTCACAGTTACAGACCTCTTACGATTGCAGTCTACAGCATGGCTGCCGTCACGCTTGTACGACGTGCTTAAAGTTGTGTCCCTGAGCACTTGCATGTTGAGAATGATCCTCCAGGGAGATGGTTTCACACCTTTGCTTTGCTCCCTCTTAATTGTGTGGAGCTTAATAGTGAAAATGGAAGCAGCCCTGCTGTAAAGCAGCGCCACATCCTTCACAGGACTTCTCAGCAACTGGCTCACTCATTGGTTAAATTCTTACGTTTCCATAGGCTGAATGAGGGGAGGGGACCTCTCAGCATCAGTCTCCCTCATTGGTTATATTTTGACATATTCCCATAGGTGGCTGGAGGGAAGGGAGCCTCTCAGCATCTGTCCTATTCATTGGTTATATTCCGGTATATTCCCATAGCCTGACGGAGGAGAGGGGACCTCTCAATAACTGTCTTGCTCAATAGCAAATGTTCTCACATAATCCCATAGGATGATAGAGGGGAGGAGACCTCTCAGTATCCGTATTGCTGATTGGATATATTCTCACATATTCCCATAGGCTGAGAGAGGTGAGGGGACCTCACAGTATCTATCCTGCTCATTGGTTATATTCTCACATAATCCCATAGCGTGGCGGAGGGGAGGGAACCTTTCGGTATGTATCCTGCACATTGGTTATATTCTCACATATCCCATAGACTGGAGGAGACCTCTCAGTATGTGTCACTCTCATTGGTTATATTCTCACATAATCCCATAGACTGGAGGGGACCTCTCAGTATGTGTCTCTCTCATTGGTTATATTCTCACATAATCCCATAGACTGGAGGGGACCTCTCAGTATGTGTCTCTCTCATTGGTTATATTCTCACATAATGCCATAGACTGGAGGGGACCTCTCAGTATGTGTCT